ATCAAACAGGAAAAATAGATTTGACTGTTCAAGATTTTCAGTTAGAACATGAGTGGGATAACTTCTTCGATGCGATGAAAGTGAAAATCACGCAAAATGTCAAGAGTGATGTGTGTCGCGTGTTGACTGCAGATTTCACGACCACAGGCAAAGTCGAATCGATTCTCTCAACTGCATGTATCATGCATGCATTCAAACCTTACTTTAACTATCATCGAATGATGTGCATCTGTGGAATTCGACAAGTTCATTTTATGGGTAAGTACTGCCACTTATTTGTACTCGGAGTAATTTTCCACGATAATTCTGGTTTCAAGATCATTCGAATCCCTTCGGAAGTGAAATTATTTATGGCGTAGCTTCACTTAGAAAATTATGAGAATATGGACGCGGTACTTCTAACCAAAACTTCATCAACGGACCAAATGTTCATCAAAAAAAAAAAAAATACTAGAAACATGGTCGACCATTCTGACCACTGGAAATATTGGAAAGATAATCTGATCAGGACTGTCACAGTTCCCGTTCTGTAGGCTTTCGTTCCCAAGGAACGCGAACCCATTTCAAAAGCCATTTTTATGCATTTTTAAACACAATGGAGTGTTCACACAACATTTTATTATCTTTTCGCAGAAAGTTGCTATAAGTTCCGGGTTCCGACGAAGCAAAATCTAGAACCTCATGGGGATTCCCAGTTCGTGGGAACCCACAACATATGCAGTTTTCCAATTCCCAGGAACCTTAAACCCTATACGGGTTTTCATTTCTATGAACCTGAAATCATATACTCATTTCCATTTCTTGTAATCCAGTATGTATTCCTCTTTTCAAAAACCAAGAATCAGTTTTCTCAATTAACATGCATCTATTAATCGAGATGATACTGGTCCATTGATATTTACATTGTTTGATTGTATCCGAAATCAAGAAACATATGGTACTCATTTGGATTTTTGAAAATATTAGGACGCTGAGTACGTGCCTAGCTACAACATCTTAAGGCTCAATAGCAAAAACAGTTCGTTGTGTGATCGCCATTGAAAATCTAGTAGAGATATATTTTGAAAATTATACAGCGTTTGAAATATACCTATTTAGATATAGATATGATTGCTCAAATGCATTTCATCCGCAGACATCTTTGTAAACAATGTATACTTGTAACTCATTTACTCATACAAAAATGAACCTGAGTCCCAAAAAAAACAGAGATCTGGATGCTCCAAACAATAGAATGTCGAATTCCGAATCTGTAACTGCACCGGAAACGATCATAGAAAATATTTATTATTATAAAGTATCTGGGATCAGAGGAAGTCTCGAGATCATATCCAGTGACTTTCCAACAGTTTCCGATGGAATATGCCTGAGAAAATTTGGCGACTTCAGGTCCGAAATACTGCTTTCAAGAAATCACCGAAAGTATTCGAAATCGATTGGTTTCCAACGTTAGTCATAGATACGGCTCAATCAACAGTGTGCTATCAGCATAAGATCTATCCGGAATTTCGATTTTTGAACTTACATTTTAAAACATGCTTTCGTGTACCACAAATTATTTGAAGTTCTATGTATTCGACAACTTTCTTACAACACATCTTTTTAAAATGAGAGTTCGCTTTCATTAGGATCACAATGAGACTTATTTTTATGTACCACGTCAGTTTTTGCACATACCAAATTTAATATATCCGAAGCATTCAAAGACGACCTGAAAAAAGATTAACAAAGAATATTCTAACTACTTGCTTTAATATAATAATGTTTTGCTATGCGTTTGACCGAACTGCTAAATAATCCATCATACATTCGTTTTTATAGGAACTCTAAATGACTGGCAATCACTTTATATCAAAACGCAACAATTACAAGCGTTCAGCAATGGTACCTTTCGTACTTATATAGATGGTGTTTTGCCGATCTTTGACGAGTTTATTAAAACTTATCAAGGCAATGTGAATAAAAAGTTCTGGATTAAAGTGTGTGATATTACACGAGACACGAGCCTCAGATATGGTGGTGAAGGTTCTGGAAAATTGATCACTGGTTGGGTACTCCAGCTGTTTGGCTTGAAGGCCGATGATGTTCGCGATCCTGCCGATATAAAGTTGCCCAATATTCGTGTACCAGTCAAACTCGAAGACGAGAAAACCGGTAAAGTGACCCAATGTTACATCGTCGGTGGATTTCATGGTATTTACTCGGCTGAGAATCGACACAAGCCGGTAATGAGTTTGTCTGTTATTCAAGAGATAAACCCATCTATGTCCAAAGAGAAAATGTCGGCTAAGGGCAAATATGGACGTTATGCTTACGAGTAGATATTGATTATGTTCAACATTTCTGAAGATATCCTTCGAAGTTGAACAGTATTTATTTATTTGATAACTTATTATTCGAGATTTTATTATATCACTTTCAATTATTGATTATCTCTTGCTATTTTTTGATTTTTAAATAAAACCGTAAAAATAAACAGTATCAAAGTTAACTAATTGGCCCCTTAAGAACTGATTTGAGTGTAGGTATAAGTGTGTTGGTGGGTATGAGTATGCGTCTTCTCTTCATTCACCAAGTCAGCCACACCCAAAAACAACTCGACATTTCTCAAAAACACTTCACAAAACATCATAAAAAAAATCGATGTTTTATCAAATCTGTATTCAAGATATGAGTCTTTATTATCGTATAAGACATCATAGACTTTAAACACGATTTCATCAAATATTCAGTATGTTTGTAAGAGTTCCAAATATCATGTCATATTGATTAGATTCGAAATAAAATTCTTTTGTGTCTGACTGTATATTAATGTTTTCTTTGGAAAATTATTTAGCGCTTAAATTTTTCAACCAAGATCAAAGGAACTATCTAAGGGGTATGTAAGAGATCTGTCTGTATGAATAAAAATATGCAAACCTTCTGAAAGACAAAAATAATCTATTCGATCATTTATATGAAACATGTTGCAGATAATCAAATTCGATTTATTATGATGATTTTTGGAATACAGTGCTCTAAACATGTTAGCTGCATACTCAATCTTGCTCTCATTGGAATAATCTGTTTTTGTTTTAAATAAAATTCGATATGTTTCCAAATGACTCAATCGACGCTACTTGCTTTGGTCGATGTGGTCTTCAGTACAATATTGGAATATATATTCTTATACAGAATAAACAATGTCTCCATTTAAGCATGTCTATGTCAATAGTCAACTTTCGTAAAGCACTATTAAAAATGCTTGCCTAGGCTGTGTGGATGCAAGAGAACATTGATTTATTTCTTGTATCTATGAAACAAGGGCAAAACAATACTTGTATGATGTTACTTGTAACAAACAACTATATTGGAAGGATGACTATTATTACAAAATGCACATTTATGTTTGAATTATCTTGAAGAATTTCATGAAATTACATTTAAAATTTTATTTTCTTGTATAATACGTATGATTATTTTTAAGCTCTTATGGTAATGAATACGTTCGATCTATCATGTCGTATGTACACTGTGCTCTTTTTAGCTTTACAACAACAATAACTCATGCACAGTTTCCAAGTTCAACTTCTTTGACTAGCAATTAAATTACTAATGAGCCATCACAAAG